AGCTTCTCATGGTTTCGGGTGCGCTCGAGGGGAAAAACGTATCTTGGCGGCGGCGTCCCCGCTGGGATTCTCCCCTTGACCCGCGCCCCTGGGACCTCCTTCCCCGTGGGGATGGGATTGAAGTGAAGGGGCTTCCATTCGACTCCACTGACGACGTTGGGACTTCCTGAGAGTCCTTTAGGGGCTCTTTTGACCTATCTGGGAGCCCCTTTTGGCCGTCCTTAGACGTTCGTGGGCTGTCTTGTGGAGCTTGGGCCGTCTAGGTGCGCTCTTGCGAATCCGTCGTGGCGATCTCTCCCCCCCCCTCCAGCGCATCTCATGAGGGCCCCTCTGTAAAAGCCGCAAACAGGGGATGGTATTCTGACCCGGGACCCCCCCCCCGGACCCCCCGCCCTCGGACACGCCCCAGGACCCCGGGACCCGACGTGGAAGGGATCAAAGGGAAGGGGCATCCCTTCGACTCAATGACAACGTTGTTAATTTCGCTTTGGCTGGGTTGCTTCATTTCGCTTTGGCTGGCGCGCTTGAGGACGAGGGCCCAGGGAAAGTGGTAGGGAGCGGCGACGGACCCAGAACAGAAGACAACGAGTACGTACGAGGAGAACAACCACGACGAATTACTCCATTCCACACGCCGACAGGGTCGGCGGGTTTCATTGCTGCGCATTGCATATGCGTAGTATCGATGCGAGCGTTTGCGGTCAGGTAGTTGTGCTCGCTCACGGTGTATGATAGAACGTGTCCTTATGTGTGGTTGTGCCGTCTCTTGCAGAGGCTCGCGATGTTGACGTTTGAGTTTGGCATGTATCATTCGTAATCGGGTAGATGTCATGGTTCGGTGGTGGCGTGTGTTATTGCTGATTGTCCATGGTGGCGTTTGTGCTGCAATTGCTTGGTATGTTGGCGTCGTACTAGGTGCCTGCTGCACGTTACGTGCGAGTTGTGATGTTTGGTGTTGCTGTCTGCAATGTATGGATCCATGTGATTGTTGTGCGTTGTCGACGTGCGTTGTGTCCTGCATTATTTAATCGCTTCGCTCATTCCGCCGGCCCATATTGTCGCACCGTTGTGGGCTAGCCGAGTTTTGGGGCCTCTTGGGGGCCGTTTTGGGGCCTCTTGGGGCCTCTTTTGGGCCTCTTGGGCGCCTCTTGGGGCGTCTTGGGGACCTCTTGGGGACTTTTTGGGGCCTCCTGGGCGCCTTCTGGGGCGGAGGGCTCGATTTTTCAGTTCTCGGTTCCCCTCTTGAGCCCCTCTTGGGCCCGTCTTGGGGCCTCTTGGTCCGTCTTGGGCGGCACTTGGGCCGTCTTGGGGGCCCTCCTGGGCCGTTACGGGGCCGTCTTGGGAGCCTCGTGGGCCGTCTTGGAGCGGTCTTGGGGGCCTCTTGGGCCGTCTTGGAGCGTCCGGAAGCCGAAAAAGCCTCTACAGTACGCAAATAAATCAGTAGAAAAAAAAACAATGAAAAATCAACGTTTTTGGCCTCTTGGGGCCCTCTTCGGAGGCCTATTTGGAAGGCCCTTGGGGCGTCTTGGAGGCCTCTTGGGGCTGTGGTGGGGCTGTTGGGTGTCGTCGGGCGTTCCAGCGCTGTCTCGGGGCCCTCTGGGGACCGTCTTGGAGGCTTCTTAGGGGACACTCTTGGCACCGTACTGGGCCCTGTATACTGGGCTCCGGATCTCTGACACGGACCTTGAAGGTGCCTTGCCGGGGTACTTTTATTTTTTTTGTTCTGATTTTTTTTTTTTTTTATTTTTTGTTTTTTGCGATCCGGGGACCCCCAGGGGCCGCCCCGCGCGCGCGAATTACAAATACTGTTAACCAGGTACCGGAGATCTTAGCATGCCCTGGCCCGTTGGGCCGGCGAATTGGCGCATAGGACTGATGTATGATGCATGTGTGGCATTGGCGGATGTGACTGATGTGCAACATTGGTGTTTGTCATGTATGTCTAGTATTGGTGCGAGATCGGGGCGGGTCAGGAGCTAATTCCTTACCATCTCAGAATCCCAAGATGCTGTGTGGGGGGCAACTTCTGTCCCGATGGGGACGCTCTGGGGACATTTGTAGCCGCCTGGGTCTTGGGGCCTCTTGGAGGCATGTTGGAGGCTATCGTGAGAGGCCATACTGAGCTATCTGGGGCCATGTTCGAGCGATCTTGCGCCATCTTGGACCCTCTCGTTGAATCACCTGCGCCCTGAAGGGCTGGTGGAACTCAGGGACAAACCGAGATCATTCGGGCTTGGCGGCCGCGTTCTGCAGGGCTGGCAGGCAGGCTATTCCGCAACATCTAAAAAACAGGTCATCATTGTCGGCGTGTTTTTAGTGTTCCGCTATTGCGCTAGTTTGCCAACAACAAGCGGCAGACGGAACTGGAACACATAACCTGCGTTGGGCCGTCTTTGGGCTCTCTTGGAGTCAAGTTGTGAACCTTGGTTCGCTGTTCCTCGTGAGACCCTCTTAGGTTATCTTAGGGCCGTCCAGAAACTTCAAGAGCCATTCGGAAGCCGAAGAGTACAGTATGTTGTTCAGCAGCTGGCCTTTCGGGGGCATCGTTGCGAGGCCCATGGGGAACCTCAGAGCTATGTTGGGGCACTATTGGGGCCTCTCGGAACCATGGCGAAGCCCATCAGGGCCTATGTGATACTTGAAGCATCTTGTGCTGTCGGGGGCCATCTTTGAGTCATCTAGGGCCACCTTGGACTCCCTGACTGCCGTCAGCGCCCCCGCCCAGAGCTGGGGGGGCGGGGTAAGCCCTTCCCGAGAGCGGATGAGGGGGGGAGTGGGAAGGGCGAGTCTTCTGAACCATTTACGCCCAGATGCATGGTTGGATTGCAGTAGCGAAGTCTGTCGCCTGTTTTGCACAGAGAATTGGGATGGACCCCATACTTGTCGCCGCATTCGCTAACCCAGGGATCGCAGCATGCACCCTTGAGAGAGAGTATCCATTGAGCGAGGTGCACGTCCAGGGAAAGAGGTGCAGAATCCAGGAAACGAAGGGAAGCGGAGCCAAATTAGTGACTGAACGTGCTTCGTTTGTTGAGCGTGCGACCCACCACCTCACATTGATCAATGAGTTGCCATGCCGCGTCTTTGTCCACGGACTGGAGTAGCGACCTTGACGCATTCGTGCTGCGTAGCATGGAGCGCGAAGTTGCACGATTGCGAACGCTGTCGTCACGGGTGGCTGTGCTCGGCAGTGTCAGGCGGCATTGGGCGTCTGCCGATTCGCGACATGTCTGCATGGTGTTGTTTCGGGGCGAGGGGGGCCCCATGTGTTGGGGTTTTCAGACGCGCATCCGCATGGAACCACGAGTCCGTGCCGCCCCGGCTCAAGGATAGGTTCGTTCTGAGTATGGCTGTCGCTGCCTTCCTCGGGGATGCCTGCGCTGGAGCCCTTTGGCTGGAATGACCGCGCCAGGAAGAAGATCCGCGTGTCCGAGGCGCCAGGGCAGTGTCTGATTTCGGCTGGAGCCGCGGCGACCTCGCGTGCGGATCTCCTGCGGTCCTGCAGCGCCATACCCCCATCTTGCATCGTTAGAGCGCCAGGCAGCTCATTCATCCGGTGCTAAACGATATGTGATGGGGGCTGGTGGGCTCGTCTGCAACATGAGCAGGATCATGCAACGTTCGTCTGGCCCGGACGCGTCTTACTTATGCCAGAGACACGGACAACTCATGGAATTCGATCAACCAATCGACAGATCGGCAAAACAGCTGACCAACTAATGCAGAATGGCTCGAACAGAAGCCTATGGTCTTGTTTTCCACCACCACCAGAAGTTGGATGGAAAGGGGGTCCTCCCCCTCCTCCTCCTCCTCCTCCTCCTCCTCCTCCTCCTCCTCCTCCTCCTCCTCCTCCTCCTGGAAGGTCAGGGTAAATGGGGGGATGGCGAGCGTGGTCCGAAAAAGGTACCCAAACGGATCCTAAACGAGCCCCTGGGGCTCCGGAGGGGCCCGCAAGGGGCACGAAAGAGGGCCGCTCCTGACCCCCCCCCGTTCATGAGCCCCCCACGAAGCCACGCCCAAGTCCATTGGATTTGCCTCGATTTGCCTGCGTCTCCCCGCGTCAGATTTGTCTGGCCCGATCCCCACGAGCCGATTGGCGCAGCGAGTCCTCCGGCGCGCAGGAGACAGAGAGAGAGAGAGATCTTCGAGAGACGGACGGAGGCCTCCCTCCACGGGCTCCCGCAGGGGTGGACCACGACAATCCTCCGGACCCTAAACCCCTGTGCCACAATTTACTATGCTGCGTGATTTACCTACCCCGCTTTCGCTTCAAAGCCACGATTTACAATGTAATTACAATAGCGCATCCTCCGTCATGCGGACTGTACCAACAGTACAAGGCTCGTTTTTTTTAGTTAGCTGGCATCGCTTGGCATCTCTTGGAAGCGAGGGTGGTCCAATAGCGAGGTAGGTCTGTTTCCCCATTTTTCAGCCTCCTGGGGGAAGATAGCGAGGCTGCGCCCAGGCCGGCCCAGGGGGCCACCTCAGGGAAAGCGCACTTCGGCGCGCCTGCGGACATGCGAAGCACGCACCTTCCTACTACCTACACCGACGCCTCATCCTACGACATCCTCATTCATTCCCATACATCCCTACCCCCCTCCCTTCTCCTTCCTACCTCCTACTGCATCCCTCCTCCCCTTCATTCCATCACTCCTCCTAGTCTACTCAGCTCTCCTCCTAATCATCGCACTCCTCCCTATCACTTCCTCCATCTATCCTACCTCCGCCCCACCTCCCTCCTCCTCCTCACCCCCTCATTCCTCTCCTCCTCGCCTCTCCCTCCTCCTACTGCCTCCTCCTCCTCCCCCTCCCTCATTAGCTCCCTCCTCCTCCTCCTCCTCACTCCTCCTCCCCCCTCCATCCCTTCCATCAACTCCTCGCCTGCTGCTACTGCTCTACTCATCATCCTCTCCTCTCCCTGCCTCTCTCACTACCTCTCCTATTACATACTCCTCCTATCCCTCTACTCCTCCTCCTCCTCCTCCTCCTCCTCCTCCTCCTCCCCCCCCTCCTCCTCCTCCGCTCGGCAGAGCCCGAGGCGGAGGAGTGGGGCGGGCGGGTGCGACGTGGGGAGCCTCGAATCGCGGGCGGTGCTTCTGCCCCAGTCCCCGCGCACCGCCCGGAGAGTGCGGCCGCTCAGAAAAAGGGGGAGGGCCCGGGATGCACCCCAACGGGGGCCATTTCGGGAGCCTTGAGACGGGGGGCAATGCAAACCGGGGTCAGCCATGGCACCAGATCCTGCAGGATCATGCGGAGACCCTCTCTGGCTGACCCAGGTTAGCGAGCCGCTCGTGGCCGCGAGGGCGGCCGCGCCTATTGGTTGACCCGGGTTTGCGAAGACCTACGTTGCAGTTTTTTTTTCCTGCATTGCAGTTTTTGGTTTCCTGCTGACCCGATCTCCGAGCCATTCGGACGCACCCCTATCGAATATGGACGCCCCCCATCGTATCTCCCAGGGTTGGGCGGCAAACTTTTGGTCCACTCGAAAGCCCCACGGAATCGGAGATAAGGGTCGACATATCTTCTGTTGTGGAGACGGGGGTCAATGCAAGAGGGGGTCAGCCGACGAGTGAGAGACCCGCGCGCGCGCCGCCCGTGCGGCTCGGTGGCTGGACCCTGCGGCGGCATCGACCTCGTCTGGCACGGGGAAGTGGTCGCGTTGCATCCACACGCACGTCCCCTGATGCGTCCCCTGACACGCTTCCTGGCGCATCCCCTAATCCGCCCCTGGCACATCCTGTGGCGCGTCCGTGAGCCTGTGCCCCGTGTCGTGTCGTTCCTTCTCGGAGCTGATGTGCATTTTGAGATTGAGTTGATTGAGCGTCCTGCACCTTTCCACTTCAGCTAGCTCTGGGGCAGCTACTACGTGCTCAGACAGCTCGAGCTTAAGATCCAGATCAGTTCGGTCGGGGCTCGAATGCCACGGAGGACTCGATCCACAACGCTGTAGAGCACAATCGCGGCATGGCACATCGCCATCCAGCACGGCTCAGCACAGCACAGCCTTTGACGCGGTACATCAAGATCGAAACACTCAGCATTGCAATTGCCCGTCGCCTAATCAGATGTCTTGAAAACGTCGCCATGCCTCACATTCTTAGTTTCCTTTCCGGGTTCGTGGGTCGATCATGTTTCCAGAGCCTGCCATCTGCATTTGTTCGGTTTGATCTTGTTATAGCACTGTGGCGTAGTCCTTGCCCAGCTGCGGCTTGCCAGCACATGACCGATAGCTGGCCTCCGGAGGTCACAGGTTGCGCCAGCCAGCCGAATATCCGAACGCCATACGTCAGCAACAGCTGATTAACAATTCGCTGGTCTGCAGGACCGACTTCGTCATCCATCATCCTCGCCCCCATCGTCTGCCGGCGGATTCTCTGTTCCCGGTCCATCCTCGGCCCAGCTATCCCGCGGCGCCGCGGCAGACGGCGCCGCCTCCTGTGAAGTCGAGGTTGCATGTGGTGTTTTGTGCTCCATTTTCCAGGCCAGTCGTCCATGCTGCGCTGCGCAATGCTGCACCTCACGATCGCGGACGTCCTGGCCAGAGTTCCCTGGATCAGGCGCATGTTCCACGTCGCCCATAGTTCCCTGCGCAATCCTGATTCTCCTGAGGCACTGCATGTGACACTCCTTATTCTCCTTATTCTCCTGTGGCACTGCAGGTGACACTCCTCCCCCTGCTTGGCTCCCCCCCGTCCCCCCGTCCTTCCGTCCCTACCGCGGTCCGAATAAGAGTTGCGGTAGCTTGGCGTTTGCTACAATGTGAAGCGCGATGTTAGGCACAGGTCCTGACAAGTCCGCAGCCCGCTCTGGCCACGCGGGCGACGACAGCTACGACTACCACGACGCTCGGCTCATGACCCGGATTGTGAGCGCGTTTTCGGGACTCGATTCAGAGCTTCAACCTCGCATTATGATGCATTCAATCTAATGGCAGGCTTGAGGACGAAACCGTGAGGGACCAGGAGGAAGGGTCGGTCATCTTCCCTGAAGGTGGGATACGCAGGTGGATGTTGCACTGGAGTCTCCTTGGAGAAAAGTTCGTGATCATGGTCGCTGGTGATTCCTCGTCCCCGACCCCAGAGCTGACCCCTCCTAAGAGATTGACCGCTGAGATCTGGAGGGGAACTTGGGGATCCTATCGAGGATGGAGCCCCCCCCAATCGAAAGTCCCATCAAATTGTGGATTGGGGCTGCGATACCTCAGGTTACCCAGGGATCCGACGTCGTGATTTTGCAATACCTGACCCCAAGAAGTCTCGACCCCTTCCCTGGGACCTCCTGAGTAGTCGTGCTGAAGGCCCTGTGGTCTGCAGAGGGCCCCCAGAGGCTGAGCGTTGCGACAGTTCTCCGCCTCGATAGTTTCAATACGTTGAAGGCCTTTGGACATGGCCTCGGCTTGGACGCGCGCGCGCGCCCGGAGGAACTCCCTCTGCGCCGGGCGTGGTCAGGTCGACTGCCCGGCAGGGCCTTGCCTGCGTTCAGCGGCGCGTTTTCTGAACGACGTCGCGTGTTGGGGTGGTTATTCTGGAGCTGGATTTTTCGACCTCTGTGCTTGTCCCCCGTCCCCTACCTCTCGCCTCCCCTCACCCCCTCCGCCCTCCACCCTCCGCCAGGGTTGGCGAGGCCTCTCTGCGGACCCGATTGTAGGCAGTGCGGGTGGCGTGCCTCAAAGTGCAGGCGGCCGCCGCGGCGTCCCATGCGAGAGGGCGCGGCGTTATGGCCTCGCCCCCCTCGGAGCCCCTGGGGCCGTCCGCGGGGGCGGTGCCGGGCCAGAAGGAGGGGGGAGGAGGAGGAGGGGGGGGGAGGAGGAGGAGGAGGAGGAGGAGGAGGAGGAGGAGGAGGAGGAGGAGGAGGAGGAGGAGGAGGAGGCAGGGAGGAGGAGGGGAGGAGGAAGAGGAGGAGGGGGAGGCAGAGGAGGAGGAGGAGGCGGAGAAGGACGTGAAGGGGCGGAGGAGGAGGAGGAGGTGGGAAGGAAAAGGAGGAGCCATGGCCCCTCGGGAGGGGGTGGCACGTGCCCAGGCCGTCGTCTGCCTCTACGTCTCGTCTTCGCCTCCCCCCCCCTTCTCCGCGCCCACCCCCCCCGTCCCACTGCGCTGTCGGGCATCCCGATGGCGCTTCCCCCACCCCCATCGTCTCCCATCCTCTCGCCCTCTCTCGCCGCCTCTCGCCCTCCCCTTCTCCGCGCCCACCCCCCCCGTCCCACTGCGCTGTCGGGCATCCCGATGGCGCTTCCCCCACCCCCATCGTCTCCCATCCTCTCGCCCTCTCTCGCCGCCTCTCGCCCTCCCCCTTCTGCAAGCTCACCGTTATGAATACTACGGTACTCTTCTCTCCCTCTCTCTCTCTCTCTCTCTCTTTCACCTGCTTCCGTCCGGAAGACATGCGGCCCTCTCCGCGCACTGCTATCCGCGCATTGTTCGTCACACGCAGGATTTCAACAGACCGTCATTCCCATGGTTTTTGTTTCTCTCCACTGCTGCTCCCGCTGCAGCATGGGCCTCGTTGGAGGGTAGCCTCGCCGCTCCCGTCGTTCAGAATGGCGCTGCCACCCCAGCGCGGGCCACTTTTCTGGATCCGCGTCCGTCCTCATCGTTGTCGCCCCCTTTTTCCCCTCCCCCGCCTTCCCCTGGTCCGCCCACTCCTTCGAGTCCATCCTGCTGCTGCTGTTCGTCCTCGTCCTCCTCCTCCCTCCTCCTCCTCCTCCTCCTCCCCCTCCTCCTCCTCCTCCTCCTCCTCCTCCTCCTCCTCCTCCTCCTCCTAGTCATCAATCCTGCTTATCCTCTTGCACAGTTGCCACCTCATCCTTGTTCTCCCCCTCCTCCCCCTCCCCCGATGCACGCAGCTCACCTTCTTCGATTGCGCATAACACGATAAGGGGATCTTTTCTGGAGTTCCAGGTCCGCGGGTGTACGTTAAAGATCATTGCAATTGGAAGGTATGGATGGGATGGGTGAGATTTCAGATATGGCGCGAGCGCACTTAGCTTGCCACCTCCCCCATCTGCCCTCCCCATTCCCCTAAGGTCCCCATTCCTCCGCCTGTGCCGGTACCGCCGTCGCCCACGCCGTAGTCGCCGTCGCCGTCGTTGTCGTCGCCGCCGTAGCCGTCGTCGCCGTCGCCACCGTAACCCGACATCCGCCGATATTCCTCAAATATGTGGCCCCCGATGTCCCGACCGCCTTCCCACCTGGGGGTATGTTTTGGGGACCCCAGGGCCAGATAGGGGCCCCCATTGGCCGACATTGAGGAAAACGCTTGGGTTGAATTGGACGCGAATCAATCAAGGGCCATACATCGGGGGGGTGGAGAGGTGCCCTTTTCGGGCCCTGGAGGCCCCCGTTCCAGGCCCTGCAGGAACCTTTCAGGGTCCCGAGAAAACCTTCTCTTCGGCGTAGCCCTCGCTGCCCTCCATTGATCTGGAGTCGTCGCCGCCGCCGGCCAGCGTCGCCGTCGCCGGAGCTCGGGCGCCCTCCCAGGCCGAGCTGGGCGCGGCGTTCCGGCGCGCGGAGGAGCTGGAGGAGGAGGCGCCCGCGAGGGCCTCTGAACTTTTGCGCCGGCTGGCCTTTCGCCCGTGAGTCAAGCAGTGGCGGGTTGCCCTTTCGCCTTTCGCCTTTTAGCACATCGGGTTTATGTTCTAAGAACATTGTTTTGTTCTTAGAACATTTCTGGATTCTAAGAACATGTCGTGGTGTGACTATAGGAATGTCGGGACGGTCGGTCCCTGCTCATGTGAGGGCTCGAGTCGGAGGCGACGACAGGAGCGGACAGCCCATGGGCGGGCATCACACGCATTCGCCTAGGAGCCTCGACGAAGGCATGAACCCTCCGCGCCCGTGAATTGCATGTAGTGCTCTCTCCTGCACTATTGGTCGCCATCGATCGAGAAGGCTTCGAGGCTCGATGCCTCAGCTTTTCTGGCGTCCGCTCGTGTGTGCGTTTTCCCCAGACCTCGAGCGTATTGCAACAAGCAACAGACGGAGATGTTTCGCCGTGTGCGTCTTGGGGTCCCTCGCCGAGCCCTGGGAGCGCCATTCAACTGCTCAGGATGGAAAGCAGGTTCCTGGGAAGGGGTCGAGCCTCTTCCGCGGATTCCGTGTCTATATGGAAGAGAGAATTGACAGATCTCAGGGTGTTTTTCACCCGCTCCCCTCCTCATCCCGATGTTGGTGGCCTTTCGGGAAGCTCCTCGCCGACACTGCCTGGAATCACCTCGGGCTCGCGGCCTGGGCGCACCCCAGCAGAGGTCCTTGGGCCCATGTCCGAAAGATGTCTTAGCCCTACGATGTTCTAACCTACTTTAGCCTTGGTCACCAGAAAGAATTTCGAGCACCAGATAGAAAACCGAAACTCGAGGGTGTTCACGTATCGGGCCCTGGTGTGCAAATATAGTCGATGATTATCCCGCCAGCGTCTGCTGCTGTGATTCGCGCCCCAGATTGTGAGTGACGGCCAGCGCTACAGAGGTAAGCGCGTTAGATGCTTGTTCCCTAGCGTTGCGTTTCATCCAGATGCTGGTTCCCCAGCGTTGCGTTTGGGGAAGTAAAGGCCTCGATCCTCCGGCTGGTCGGCCGCGGGGCGTTTCCAAAAACCCGATTCTCCGGCCGGTCGGCCGCGGGGCGTTTCTAGGATTCCGAGTGCCACCAGCAATATACATTGAATTATTTGCGTCCACTGTGTTGCATAGTCTGCTGCATTGTATGATTTGCTTCCACTGTGTTGCATAGTGTGCTGCATTGTACTATTTGCTTTCAGTGTGTTGCATAACGGGGCGGTGCGATTCGAGGCTGCCCTGCTACGGCGTGGCGCGGCGTGCGCTGCTCATGCCGTTGACGTGGTGCGACCTCGAACGCCTCACCCCCGAGCTTGGTGCGGCGTGCGCTGCCCTTGCTCTGCCTCCAGCTGCCCGGTGGCATCTGGCTCAAGGCTCTCGCACAGGCTCGTGCCCAAGCGGGCCGAGCCGAGCCACCCTCACTAGGCTGCCGCGCTCGGATGCCCTCCAGTGCTGCTGCCGGAACTGTGAAAAAGAAGCCTCGCAACCACAGGGGTACGCGGGGCAAAACCTCTTCCAACAAGAGGGGCCTCAGGTACCTCTTGTGCGCCCGCTTGAAGCGGGCCCTGGCGCCGCCAGAGCGCCGGCGGGCTCACACCGAGTCCGAGGAGGAGAGCCGTCGCGTCGAGGCTCTCTTGGACGACCTCCGGGAGCTCGCCGAGCACCCGGAGTGGAGCCCGTGCTCTCCAGAGACCCCAGACGGCGGGATCCCAGCTGACCCCCAGTAGACTCAGATCAGAACCTCAGGTTATCAGCCGAAGGCTCCGACGATGGCGAGCTCTAGCGAGACCGACGCTCAGCTCGCGCCCATCGCCGATGACCTCGGCCTGGTGTTGCCAGAGATCTTCGCGGCGGCGCAGGCTGCCCCACCGCCACCGCGCCCGGGCCCGCCTCGGCGCCCCGCAGTGCCGCCGCGCGGCCCGCCACCCCATGCGGATGGTGTTGCTGTTCCTGTCCCTGATCGCTCTCGATCGCTGCATTTAGACGCGGGGCAGCTGGACGAAGACGGAGGCGGCTCGCTCGACCTTTCCCGCGAGCTGTCGCGCATCATGGACAGCAGCAGGGCTGCGGCCTCTGGCGCAGAACAGCTCGTGGTCCAGAAGGCGGAGCTCGTGAGTGAGTTCGAGGCCAGGGAACGGGATCTTTCCCGTCGCCTCGAATCTGCGCTGCTGGAGCGCACCGCCGCGCTTTCGGAGCAGGCCGTCACCAGCATTTCGGCCGAGCAGGTTGTGATGCAGCGCCGGCTCGACGAGGCCACTATGCATGCCGAGCGAGCTTGCCAGGCTCGTCTGCAGCAGGGTGCGGTTGAGCTCCGCGCCGCCGAGCAGCACTTGCAGCAGGAGGACCGCGCTCGCCTTCGCCTGGCTCTCGACTCTGAATCGGCTGCCTTTCGACAGCAGGCTCGAGAGCAGCATGAGCACGTCGCCAAGCTCCACGCGGAGACCTACGAATCCCAGCAGATCAGGGAGGCGGAGGTCCGGCAGGTCGCGTCGCAGGCTACCGCGAAGATCGGCGAGGCCAACGCCGCCGAGGTCGCAGCAGCCACTGCAGCCCACCACCACGAGCAGCTCGCCGCTGAAGCTGCTCGCCTCGAGTCGTCCGCGCAGGCGGCTCTGAGCTCCACAAGGCTCCAGCTCCGCCAGCAGGAGCTCAAGGTCGCGAGCCTGGAGCAGCACAATGCTGAGCTCCGCGTCCAGGCTGGCCGCACCGCTGAGATGGACGCCAAGGTGACCATCATGCAGTCGAAGCTCCGAGAGTCAGACGATCGTGTCAACGCCGTGTGTGACAAGGCCCAGGCCTGGTGCGATGGCATCGCCCAACAGGTGGCTCGACGTGACTGCGAGCACACCGAGACCATCAAGGCGCTGCAAGACCGCCTCGAGATGGTCGAGCAGGAGTGCGAGAACTGGAAGTCCATCGCCTCAAGTTTCCATGAGGCGGCCGCGCTCGGGCAGGCGACGGCCTCGGCGGCCGGCCCCGCGCCAGTCGGCCCAGCCAGGGCCCCCAGCGCATCTGGCGTCAACGACCTCCGTGGACACCGCGCGGAGCACTTCGACATTACGACTCCTCAGCGGTTTGTTCCGCCACCGCCTGCTGCGTTCGACCACCAGCAGGCAGCTGAACAACCAGACCGCGCATCCAAGCCCAACGCGGGGGTCCTACCTGGACGGGGGTGCGGCACCACGATGCGACGCCACGTCGCTGCAGCTGGCGGCGGTCCGCCTGATCGCGGCGGACCTGGTAGCACGCAGTCTGAACCAGTCCTCCGACTACCCACCACTCGACACCAACGGCCGTCACGCCCAGATCTGCCTCCTGGACTCCATCATGGTCGATCTGGCGGTGGAGGCGGGGGCGGCGGAGACGATGGAGACCACGATGGTGAGGGTGACGACGACGACGCCTCCCATGCTCCTTCGCCGCGCGCCAGCCGGGCAAGCCGCCCGTCGCTCCGCAGACGCAACCACGACTCATCGTCGAGCTCTCTGGAAGACGAGATCCGGCGGCGCAAGGGCACGGTCAAGAAGATCGAGTTCGACACCATCCCCGCTGCCGCTGGCTTCAGGCTGTGGTTGCAGGAAATGTACACCAAGGTCTGCGCAGCCAGCAAGCGCAGCACGCGCCGCACGTTGCGCTGGCTGCAGGAGGTCGAGACCACTTTCTCCATAGAGCACCTCGAGCGCCTCGCCGCGAAACAGAAACGGTGGGATGATCTTGACATCGCTCTCGCCGAGGCCGTCCTCTCGGTAGCCTCCGGCCCCCTCCGTCGCGAGTTGCTCATGTACCAGGAGGAGCAGACGCGTAAGGGGGGCAACCCCTTATTGGGACGTTGCGCACTATACCATGTCTTTTCTCGCTTCACGATCGAGAGAGGGCAAGCCACGAGCGTCGATTTGACCACTTTGGTGCAGTTGGAGTACAAGGGCGACCTGGAGTCTTTCGTCGACGCCTGGGACTACGCATTGATGGCGCTGGCCCGCGTGCCAGACGACGACATGCTTCTCGCGCCCTTCGCCAGCCAGCTGCGCAAGTGCAAGGCCATGTCGCCCACCTTCGTCCACTACGATGGGGCGCAAGACGGTTCGCCGACGCGGAGTGCCAAGTACCTCTACGACGCTGCGCGCCAGGAGATCGTGAGGCGTCAGCGCGAAGACACGACTGCAGGCCTACTCAAGACTCCACAGAAGACCGCCCCTGCCAAGACCAGTGACCCCAAGGGTAAGGCTGGAGGTTAGGGTGGCAAAGGTGACAAGGAGGTCTGCCAAGCCTTCTCTCGCAATGGCAGGTGCCGATTCGGGGACAAGTGCCGCTACGAGCACATCACTGGGGCCGCTACGCCCCACCCCAAGGCCAAGGCTAAGGCTGAGGCCAAGGCCAAACCAAAGGCCAAGGCAAAAGCTCAGGCTGGCAAGGCCGTGGCCGACGCTGCCAATTCCAGTGCTGCCGCTTCCGGCGAGGCGGCCAACGTCGATGACAAGCCTTTGTGCAAATTTTGGCCTCAAGGCAAATGCACGAAGGGCAGCGACTGCGTGTTCAAGCACGTTGGCCCTGGGAAGCCGACGCCCGCTGCCGTTTGCCGCGTGCCAGCGCTCCCAGCATCCGACGCCCACTTCGCCGACCGCGAGTGGGCCCTCGACTCCGGCACTGGCAACGACCTCGCGCCGCCCGGCATGCAGGGCCGCCGTCGGCATCGCGAGGATCTATGTGCCCTGGAGACCGCCAATGGGATTCTCAATCCCACCGAGACCGTCACCGTCGGCCTGCCAGAGCTCGACGAGGACGCGGAGGTCATTGAGCTCCCCAACACGCTGCCGGCGCTCTCGCTCGGCCGCCGCTGCGCCCAGCATGGCTATGACTTCCATTGGCCTGCGTGTGCTGATAAGCCGACGTTCCTGAAGCCTACAGGCGAGCCAGTGGACATCGGCGTCCAGAACTTCGTTCCTGTGGTCTGCACGCGCGCCGACAAGCCGACTGGTGACCGCCGCCACGTACGCTGCATGCCCGCTGCGCCATCTTCCGAACAGCACGTTGGGGCCGGCAGCGCGGTCGGCAGCAGCCACCCTCCAGACCAAGCCATCGCACCTCCTGATGCTGCTCCTGCCGCTGTCCGCGAGGATCCACAACAGTCGCCTTCGGTGATTGAGCCTGTCGCGAGCGCGATGGGCGTGCGGGACCCGGTCCTGAAGGACATTGAGCGCGTTTTGGACGACCCCCTCCTTCTCGACGCCGCCATCGACCCTGATCCGCAGAAGGCGCCCCTGAAGGTGCACGAGTGCGAGATTGAATGACAGGTGCACTCTGACATCGACCCGATGTCTCCGAGCCACCTCGCGACGCACCTACCCAAGTGCGCCGCATGCGAGGGGTGCAACTTCGGTAAGACAGTCAAGTCCCGAAGTCAGCGCCGCGTGCTCGGCGTGACCATTGAGGTGCCAGAGGGCGAGAAGGAGTTCGGCGCGCTGCTGCACATGGACCGCCTGGAGATGGAGCGCGGCAGCGAAGCTTGCCGAGCTGCGCCGTACTGTTTGCAGTTGCTCGACGAGCAGACCGACTTCTACGACCCGTTCCCCGCCTCGAAGCGCGACCGGGGCTCCGTCGTCAACAGCACCCACGAGTTCGACAACGAGACCATGGATGTTCGTCGCTGGTGGTCGGACTCCGCGCCAGAGTTCAAGGCAGCTGCCAGACACATCCGTGCCCAGGGGCCATTGGCGCACTATCGGTCCACGCCGTACCGCCCGCAGGCGAACGGGAAGATCGAAAGGATGAACAGGACCTCAGTCGAGGGAGCCCGGTCGTGCTTGCTACAAGCTGGCATGTCTGAGAGGTGGTGGCCGCTTGCTATTTGCCACTGGGCTGCCTGCTACAATGCGACCCGCCTCGACGGTGACGGCCGCGCGCCCTGGCACAAGCGTTGCGGCGAGCAGGCCCCTTTCAAGGTGTACCCGTTCGGTGCGCTGGTCCTCTTCAAGCCGCCGCCTGGCAGCAGGGTCTCCCGTGTGGAGGCCGAGAAACAGTGCACCAAGGAGTGGTGCAACCGTTTGGTGCCTGCCATTCTCGTCGGCGTCACGCAGGGCCCCGCCATGAAGTTGTCCAAGTCGTACTTGATCGCCCCACTGGCCAGCATCATGGCCGACGGACGGGCCTCGCGCGTGTCCGTTCGGACTGTCGCGGACGTGGTCGTCCCTGACACGGTCAGCTTTCCCCTCAAGCAGAGGCTGACGCTGCTCGGGGCGTTCGAGGACGCTAACCTCCCCGCCCCTCACACCGTCGACGACGACGAAAAGTGGGAGCTCATTGCCGGCGAGGTTGACGAGGACGACTTGTTGGAGTACGACGGCGTCCTGAACGAGAACGCCCCCCGTTTCAAGACCACCCCATCGTCGAGGTGATGATGGCCCTGGATCCTGACACGCACCCCGAGGCCGTGGCGGAGGCCGTTGTCGAGGGGGGTCCTGCTGCAGCGCCTGCTGATGAAGCCGAGGGCGGAGCAGACTTTCCGGCGCTGGACGCGGACGTGCACGACGCTGCGCAGGCCGCGGCTCAAGCTCGTGCCGAAGCCCAGGAGCTGCGGCCCGGTCCGGCGCGCGCCCCGCCGACTGGCTGGAGGCGAGACGTAATTGGGAACCCAGTTCACAGAACAGTCTGGGCTCCTCCCTGGAGTACTCGGCCACCGCGGCTAGAGCCAGAGGTCTGGCTATCCCTCAACCTGAAGGCTCGGAACCAGGAGCGGGAGAGGTGGAAGAAAGACGACCCAGAAGGGCATGCTATCCAGGAGAAGCGCCGGGCCGACTACCTCTCCATGATGGAAAAAGGAAAGGTTGGCAAGGGCAAGATCAGGGCGCTACCCGCCGCCCTACTCGACTGCAAGGGCAGCGTTGGCCAAGAGACCGAGGTATTCTATGGTCAGCTTCCCGCCCAGAAGCCGCGCTGGAACCCACCTCGCCGGACCCCGACAACGCCTCCGACATCTGCCCCGAGGCCGTCTTCGACTTCAGGCTCGCCATGGTCATTGGGCTTCGGTGTCTCGATCGCTGCGGACTCCATGCTGGGCGCCCTCCACGCCGTCAGGAACCTCCCTGACCACGTCGACCACCTCCTAGTCGAGCTCTGCTGCAGCAGCGACTCGGCTTCTGGGCTTCCGGCTCCTGCGAACGCCGCAGTTTTTCGAGTCACTGCCCAGTCGGACCTGACCCGACTCGACACAGTCAAGTTCGTCAAGGACATCGTCAAGAAGGCTTCGCAGAAGAAGCTGGACATCATGATCTGGTTTCCATACCGCGCACAACTGGATGCCCATGGAGGCACATGAATGCCGCAAATGGCGTCGAGACAGGGGACTTGCAGCTCACCGAGAAGCTGATCATGAACGCCATCAAGATCTGCGAGTTTGCTAAGAGCAGGGGGGCTGACATCACGTGGGAGTGGCCGCTGCGCTCCGACCTGTGGGGCAACGAGCACGTGCGCGCGATGGTGAACTCGCTCGGTGGCGAATTTGTCAAAGTGGCCACGTCCGCGGTCGAGCGTAGTCACCAGCTGTCGGGTGAGACGATATACACCCGGAAGGAGTGGTGCCTCTACACGACGGACATGGAGGTGCGCAGCGCGTTTGCGGCTTACAGCTGCGACAAGGACGCCGACTCGAAGAAGTTCGCGTGGTGTAGGGGGCGCATCGCTAGAGAATCAGCGGTCTGCGCGCCTCTGTTCGCCAGAATCTTCTGGGCGGCCTGGAGCGTCGTGTTCCAGCGTGCCCAGGCGATGGCCGCGAAACCTGCGACCGCTGACACTGTCACCGAGCTGCTCGACTTCGGCGCCGACCACCGCGAGCGAGACATGCCACCTTGCAGACTTCTTTGGTGCGCCCTCGCCACTCGCATCGTCAAGCCCAGGAGCGAGGAGGCGAAATGCGAGGGCGCTCGGAAGGCCATCCTGAAGGAAGTCGAGCGGATGGGCAACGACAATGTCTGGGACCCGAAGGACGTCTACAGCCTCAAGGACTTCCTCAAACACCCAACGATTAAGGAGGCCATGCTGGGGCGGGTCTTCACGATCCTCCGGGTCAAAGGCGAGGAGCCGGGCCCCGAGCTGAAGGAGTGGAAGGGCCGCATCGTCTTTCAGGGCTCGAACGTCAGGACTAAGTCTGGCGTCTCTTCGACAGACTTGTTTGAAGAGGTCTCGAATGCGCCAGCAAGCTTTGCTGCTGCGCGCGTGGCCTTGGCCGTCGGGGCTCTGCGGGGCTTCGCGGCCACCCTCGGGGATGCCGAGGCAGCGTGTCTACAGGCCTTGATCGATGCGCCTGGCAGGGTCCCTACGTTTGTCGAACTTCCAGCTGAATGGTGGCCGGACGAGTGGTTCAGGGATGGCGCGGCCAGGAAGATCCCCAAGTACGACCGCCCCCATTGCCGTCTCAAGAAGGCGCTCTACGGCCATCCGGAAGCCGGGGCGCTCTGGGAGGCGAAACTCACCAAGATATTGATGGAGGACGGCTGGAGCCAGCCGAGCATCTCTCATCCGGGTGTTTGGCTTCGCCCGACTGGGGCTGTCCTGGTCATGTACGTGGACGACATGATGATGGTCGGGTCCGGCCAGATGTGCGCGGAATTGTGGAAGAAGCTCGATCGCAATGTGCGCTTCAAGGCTGATGCCGAGTTTCTGAACCGCTATCCCGGCGCGTTCTACGACCTGACCCCCTACGACCTGAACGTCCCTGACGCCGTCCGCACGCTGAGCATCAACGTGGACGAGTACGCCAGCAACGCGGTCAACAAGTTCAGGGGGGAGCACCGCAAGCCGCTGCACAGGGTGACCTCGCCGTACTTGGACGCGGAGGCCTGGGCGCAGGAAGGTGAGCCAGGCGGTGTCTTTGCCGCCACATGCGCGTCGCATGTTGCTTCCCTCCTGTTCCTGTCGTGCGTGGCACGCCCAGATATTTCAGTGGTGGTTCAACGCCTCTGCGCGGCCGTGACTCGATGGACCACAACTCATGACGCTGCGCTGGCCCGCGTCATGGCCTACCTCAGCAGCACGGGGCCCATCAGCTTGGTCGGAACGCTCTCGCCTTGTGATTTGGCCGACTGCGAGCTCCAGGAGTGGAGCGACGCGGACTGGTCTGGAGACCCAGAACACACGAGATCCACATCTGGGCTCTTCCTGGTGCTCGCTTCGGAGACTTCGGAGACTTCCTGGTGCCGCTGACTTGGAGCGTGCGGAAACAGACATCCACCGCTGGCTCCACGGCTGAGGCAGAGACGGTTGCTTTAGCATATACTACCAGACATGAGGCGATCCCAATGCAGGAGCTTCTGGACTGTTTGCTCGCAGGCTGCCGTGACCCCATCGAGCTGGTCGCAAAGGTGGACAACACGCAAGCCATAGACGCTGTGCGCAAAGGGTACTCGAAGAAGCTGCGGTTCCTTGAGCGCACCCACAAATGCAGCATCGGATTCCTCCACGAGCGCGTCGTCGAGACCGGCGAGATGCGCTTGGAGCACGCGCCCACCGCGACCCATCGCGGAGATGGCTTTACCAAAGCCATGCCACCAGCGCGATTCCTTGCTGCACGTGATCTCATGGGCATGGTCCCTGGCCAGGCGTGAACCTCAGCCACAGACTCGGCGAGGGGTGTGTGCAAATATAGTAGATGATTATCCCGCCAGCGTCTGCTGCTGTGATTCGCGCCCCAGATTGTGAGTGACGGCCAGCGCTACAGAGGTAAGCGCGTTAGATGCTTGTTCCGTAGCGTTGCGTTTCATCCAGATGCTGGTTCCCCAGCGTTGCGTTTGGGAAAGTACAGGCCTCGATCCTCTGGCTGGTCGGCCGCGGGGCGTTTCCAAAAACCCGATTCTCCGGCCGGTCGGCCGCGGGGCGTTTCTAGGATTCCGAGTGCCACCATCAATATGCATTGTATTATTTGCTTCCATTGTGTTGCATAGTTTGCTGCATTGTATGATTTGCTGTGCTTCCATTGTGTTACATAGCGTGTTGCATTGTACTATTTGTTTTCAGTGTGTTGCATAACGGGGCGGTGCGATTCGAGGCTGCCCTGCTACGGCGTGGCGAGGCGTGCGCTGCTCATGCCGTTGGCGTGGTGCGACCTCGAACGCCTCACCCCCGAGCTTGGTGCGGCGTGCGCTGCCCTTGCTCTGCCTTCAGCTGCCCGGTGGCATCTGGCTCAAGGCTCTCGCACAGGCTCGTGCCCAAGCGGGCCGAGCCGAGCCACCCTCACTAGGCTGCCGCGCTCGAATGCCCTCCAGTGCTGCCGCCGGAACTGTGAAAAAGAAGCCTCGCAACCACAGGGGTACTCGGGGCAAAACCTCTTCCAACAAGAGGGGCCTCAGGTACCTCTTGTGCGCCCGCTTGAAGCGGGCCCTGGCGCCGCCAGAGCGCTGGCGGGCTCACACCGAGTCCGAGGAGGAGAGCCGTCGCGTCGAGGCTCTTTTGGACGACCTCCGGGAGCTCGCCGAGCACCCGGAGTGGAGCCCGTGCTCTCCAGAGACCCCAGACGGCGGGATCCCAGCTGATCCCCAGTAGACTCAGATCAGAACCTCACCCTTGGAGACACTCGCCCGATACTGTTTCGACACTCTGTCGACACTCTTTCGACACTTTTCTGGGTGCTCGAAATTATTTCTGGGATGTGGTCCTTTATGTACGATGGGAGCAACATAATCTTAGCCTCTGGCAGATTTACCTGCATGGCGCTCAGCCCCCCCCCCTTTTCCCACCGCCCACCAAACCAACCCAACCCAACCCGAAGACCCCGATTTGCCCTCCATTTCCAGTGTGGGGGGGGGTCGGGGAGCATTGAAAACACTTGTGAAGCCCGCGCCCCCCCAAAACCGAAATTCGGGCGAAATTCGGGTCTTCGGGTTGGGTTGGGGTGCTCTGGTAGGTCGCCATTCTCGCCGCCGCCTCGAGCAGCGTTGGGCCGAAACGGCGTGCAAGTGGGCCCCGGCGCGCGTCCGGGTTTCCTATTGGGCCCGCCCCAGCCCCCCTCCACACAGTCGGGGGCGGCAGAGAGGGGGGTGATGACTAGGGGGGGGATGTCATGGCGCGGGCCATGATGTTTCCCCAGACTTCATGGCTCCTTCTCATCATTTCATTGCGTCCCTGTCCCCTGGGCCGCGCATGTGCCGCCGGCCATGATCTGCACCCCCCCTCTCTTGGACGCTCCCCTCTTGGCCGCCCTCGATACAAGGGAACCTGCCGTAATCTGATCAGAGACTGCCTCTAGAATGTTTGACCTTCGACGGAGCTTACCGGGCCTTGAGCTGTCAAGACAAGCTCGGGATGCTGAAATCCCGGCTTGGGGAGGGGGCCCGGGCCTCCCAAGGCCTCGATGTGGGGCGCAGGGTGTCCTGGGAGGTTGGGCCGTCCAAAAGCGACCCGGGATGAGGGAGGGAGGGAGGGGTGGAGAGGAGGGGGGGGGGGGGAGGAGGGGAGGGGGGAGGGAGGGAGGGGGGCGGAAGGGAGGGGTGGGGAGGGAGGGAGGGGTGGGGGAGGGGGGAAGGGGGGGAGGGAGGAGGGAGAGGTGGGGGGGGGAGGGAGGGAGGGAGGGGGAGGGAAGGGGGCCTCTGGTGAGGGAGGGGGGGAGGGGACCGAGGGAGGTGCTGGGAGGGAGGGGGGGGAGGGAGGCGGGGGAGGGAGAGAAGGACGCGAGGCAGGGGGCCGGGGGTGAGGGAGGGAGGGAGGGAGGGCTGGGTGAGGGAGGGAGGGAGGGAGGGGCGAGGGGCGGAAGGGGGCCCCCGCTCCTCCCCGAGGGGGGGGGGGGGGGTCGAGGGAGGGAAGGAGGGAGCCGAGGGAGGCGAGGGAGGAGGTGAGGGGAGGCGAGGGGGGGTCGTGGGGGAGGCGGGCGAGGTGACGGAGGCTCCCTCCTCCCTAACTCCGCTCCTCCGCCTCCGCCCCTTCCCGCAGCCCTCGCCCTCCTGCCCCGCCCCCCCCCTCCCCGGAGGTGCTGGAGGAGCGCGCGCTCCACCGGCGGCGCTGCCGCGGGTGCGGGACGGGGCCGGTCGGCGGCCGGAGGCTGCGATCCCCGAAGGTCTTTCAAGCAGTGGCGAAGCGTCCTGGCTCGCCTATAGCCCTACCAAACAATGTTCTAAGAACGTTCTGTGATTCCCACGAAAGGATCTCAGAACATTTCTGGCGGAGTCTGCCTTGTTCTATCACATCGGGATTGTTCTTATAACATGATTGGGTTCTAAGAACATTTCGTGGTAGGACTATAAGAATGCCGGGACTCTCGGTCCCTGCTCAAAGGGAAGCGTGAGACTCGAGAACGCTGGAACTCGGGTCTGCCGATGCTTCCTGACGAGCGCGTCCTGGATTTTGACGGTCCAGGTCGAAGGCCCCGTCGAGCCAACCCGAGTCCCCCGAGCCCAAGTCGCAAGTCTCCCTGAATCCGTGTTCTTCCCTTCCTCCCACCGCCACCGCTTCGGAGGGAGGAGAAGCGACATCACCACCAGGGGGCCACTTCCAGCGAGGAGGTGCACGATGCCTCTCAGAGCTGAGCCTCGAGGGGCTCACACCACTAGGGGCCTCCCCCCCAGGCCCCTCGTCCTGCTGGTGGTGGTGCCGCCCTCGTCCTGCTGGTGGTGGTGCCGTCTTTGCTTGTTCCTATCTTTCCCGCCCCCCACCCTTTCTCCTCCTCAGCTTGCGCACACGCGGGAGGCCTCCTTCCCTTCTCCCCCCGTTCCCACCGGCGTCTCCGAACAGCGGGCCTCTGGTCGTTGGCGATCCTCAGGTCGTCTGCCAGGGCAGCCCAGTATTTGTCCGTCCCACCGATCGCGAAGCCCAGTTCGGATGGATCGATCGGGCTCCGATGGAATCATAATCCTCCTCCTCCTCCTCCTCCCCGGATCCAGTTGCCAGGATATCAAAATCCAGTATGGATTCACTCATTTCGATCATATTGCATCTCGATCTCCTTGCAATTATGGCGCGGCTCGATCTTGCACAGCGCAGCTGTGCTCCTGGTGCGGCCGATCCGACTCCATCTCGACTCCGTGCCAGTGCTGCTGGATCACATTCCGAGGCGATGTGGGTTCACGATTCGATGTCGATTGATCCTGTCTTGTGCCTTTGCCTCGCTCGGATGACAGGGGAGGTGGGCCCTTCCCCCTCACCCGAGCGAGACACAGGCGCAGGAGGAGAAGGGGGGTTTCATGGCGGTGGTGAGGATGATGTTGTGAGCATGACGATGATAACGACGAATACGGCGGCGGCGGTGGCTGCGGCGACGACGGCGGCGGCGGCGGTGGAAGCGGTGGTGATGATGATATGATGATGCTGATGATGATGATGATGATGATGATGATGATGATGGTGATGATGATGATGCTGATGCTGATGCTGATGCTGATGATGCTGTTGACGATGACGATGATGATGATGCTGATGATGATGATGATGATGATGATGATGATGATGATGATGCGGATGATGATGATGGTGATGATGGTGATGACGTTGAGTGTGTTGGTGATGTCGATGGTGACGGTGATGGTGGTGGTGATGGTGGTGGTAAGGGCGATGGTGGTGATGATGGTGATGATGATGGTGAGGGTCATGGTGTTGTTGGTGATGCTGATAATTCCGATGGTGGTGATGAAGATGATGGTGACGATGATGATGATGCTGATTATGATTATGATGATGATGATGATTATGATGATGATGATGATGATGATGATGATGATGATGATGATGATGATGATGACGGTTATGATGATTGTGATGTTGATGATAATGATGATGATGATAATAATGATGACTATGATGTTGATAATGATTGTGATGGTGATGTCGATGGTGACGTTGATGGTGATGGTGATGATGATGCTGATGATTGTGGTGATGATGGTGATGATGATGGTGGTGATGATCATCGAGCTGGTGATGGTGGTGGTGATTATGGTGGTGATGGTGCTGGTGGTTGGGTGATGGTGGAGAAGTTGAGGCCAGCGGGACCGAGGCGTTCCTGGCTATCCAGAGATTCGCTGGGGCTTTTAGGAGCGTTCTTGGACCGTCTCGGACTACAGTCGGGGCCCTGAAGAAGGAACCCTTTTCGTTGGGGAGGGGCTCCGCGTTCCTTAAGTGTTTCGCAGCTTGCCTCAGGTTTTCCTTATGTTTTCGATCGGAAATCGAAGTTTAACTAATGGAAAAAGGAAGCCTCGTTCCTTATTTTGGGTTCCTTAGGT